ACTACAAGAAGTTTACTAATTAATATTTAAAAATGTAGATAATACGAATAAGAGTGTGACTATTTAGAAAATTTTCAGATAATTGTGTATTTTACACTATAGTTTGTCTTGATATTTAATTCCGAGAGTGTATAAGATTATAGTGTATCCTGTTCTGAGTAAAATTAACTTTCGAGTAAATACATTCATAGATTCATATAATACAAATGTACGAACTATACTTATAGCCAGAAAAAATCTACAATATACTTGTTCCGACGCAGCAAAGTTGCGCAGAAGGTTAATAAAACGATATACAACTACTAGCTACTATTTTACAAGCATTATTAAATTAAAAGTAAAATCATCCTTTAAGTATTCCACGACAACTGATAAAAAGTATATGTATCGATACATCAGCAAGTTGCAATTACATTGACGATGAAAATTTAGAAAATTTCGTTTTAACTATATGATAAATATTAAAAAATATTGGAAAGTCTCTTAGCCGGGCGCGGCTCCCCACGCGGTTCAGCAGTAACGCATCAATTTCCTATAGCGCCTTTTGATTAAAAGAAAAAGTAAAAAAAAAATTGGAATGAATTTATTATAAATATATGATTGTTAAAAATAACATGACGCTTCCTTAATTAAACAATTCGTTCAACATTTTTTTAAAAACTTTTCCTATTAACTATTTTATTCTTTTTATAATCGAGTTAAATAATTTTTTTAATTATTGTTGAAAGATTAAAGGCTATCAGTCACGAAGTCGGATAAAAAATATTTATATCTTTTTTTTTTGATAAAAACTATCAATTAGTGATATTGAATAGTAAAAAATTACGACAGTTTTAATGTACTAGATAAAATAATAAAAAAAAAATTATTGTTATCATTAGTAAATTACATGTATTTTTTTTGTCAAAGGTTTATGGGAGTTAAGAAACTAATGCTTGTTATTTTAAATCAACATTTAGAGGCTATTAAAAATTTATACATTTTTCGATGAAATAAATTAATATTGAGCAATACTGATGGTTCTATTTAATGATTAAAATTTTAGAGAGTATTCACTTATTGCTTAAAAGTTACATATGTGTAATATAGTTAATGTATTTATTTATTTATTATAATTTAATCGTTCTGTTATGACAAATTGCACAAATCAAGCTCCGTAAAAATTGTTAAATGCAACCGCGAACTATGAGCATATTTTATTTCAATTCATTGAATAAGAAAAAGAATCGTTTTTGAGTATAACAAATTTATTTCAGTATGTAGTTATGAATTAAAAGGTGGGGAATTTGTAATGCTAGGGACATTCCTGATGCCGGCAATTGGGGTGGGAGGCAGGTATAATACGACAAGATGGATGTGGCGGCATGCGGCATGTCTCTCGTAGCTCGTAGTTCTGCATATAGTCCAGTCGTCACTAACCGGCTTTCAAGTTAACATCATTCTGTACAGTTTTAGACGACATATTTCGAATATTTAGCAATTTTAATTATAATTGAAGATTAGCGGTATACTATTTATATATATATATATATATATATATATATATATATATATATATATATATATATAGTTTGACATGTATTCACTCTTAAAATTGGCCATACTTGTTATCGCAGTGTCGTGCAATATTTATTCAACAAAATATTGGAATCGACGCATATGTGACTAAAACTTTCAATAGTGTTGATCATGAGTACGATTATACTTATGAGGATTCGCATAGAGATTTAAAATAATTTTTTTAAATTTAATATCCACAAAAAAAAAACTATTATTCAAGTGCTATTATTTTTAATATTAATAGATTTTTAGTGATCAACTGAAAGTGGTCTCAGTGGGTATTATTTTGGATTATATCAGAAAATTGGTAAGAATAGTTTTTCATGATAATTATGTTTCATGGTCTAGTATGGATTTGAAATTTATTCGCTTGGGATTTCAAGTAGAATTGCGTCGTTTTGTGTAATCTCATTTTCACGTAAAATAGATATTAAAAAATTATTCGATCCTCCACCAGTCAACTATTTTTGAATATAATAAATATTTAAAAAAATTAAAAAACCATAAAAATAATTAATTTATATTTGCTAAATGAATTAATACAGTTATTAAGTATATTTTTATACACGCCCTATACATGGATAAAAGAACGACCGGCTTTTTTAGTGCCGCGTGGGTCGAGCCGGTCGGATCGATTCCACGATGCGCGTGTTGGATTATTTTACTATATGTACATGTAGCGCTATTATAAGTTTTTCGGAATTTAATTGCCTTTACTTCATTGTTTTTTAAATTATTGTTCTTAATTAACTATTTTACTTACTATTTCATTTATGATATTAAAATTAACAGACATTTTACAATTTTTTCAACAAGTAAATTGTTGTTAAAAAAAAATTATAGAAAAAATTTTACATGGAGAAATTTAAAAAAACTATAAATACAATTTAATTTTTAGTCGTAGTAATGAAAATTAGTCGAGGCTTGTTGATTTCAATATCATAAAATTATGTAAATTTTTATTATATTTTTTTTTCTTCAATTAAGAAAGAACCAATCTTACGTTATCATATCCAAAGTTTTTTTTAAGCACTATAACGGAAGCAATTATCTCTCAAAAAAGATATCTTATTATACTATATAGAACTCTGCAAAAAAAAAATCTTTAAATGTTGTCTAATGATATCTCTTGGATGAATTACTGAATTGAACGGGATTATCGAGATTGAAATCTATCAGATTACAAAATAGTTTCTACAAGTCATTCAGAAACGAAAACTTACTGAAATAAATTTTATAAAATAATTCATAAATTACCTTATTAAAAGCATAAGATTATATAGAAATAAATACGAGGTTATATTTTCTGTGTTGATTATATTTTAAATGAAATAATAAAAAAATGATCAGGTGTTTACTAATTTCAGTATCATAAAGTTTTAATATTTTGATCCTTATGATTTATATAGTAGATCCTTTTTCAAGGCCAGTTAATTATGTTTTAATTGCTTACAACTGAAAAATTTTTTCAACTCTTGATAGATAATTTTAAAAACTATTTTCTAATGGCTTTCACATTAATAAGAATTATATAAATGACAAAATGGATATGTACTTAAGAATTTATTACATTTACAAATTTTTATTCTTTTCATTATTTAGGAAAACAATACGATCTCCTTAATTTTAAATTACTAACGGAAATGTCGAAAGGACTAAGAGTTTTACTACAAAATATTTAAGAATAGAAAGCTTAACATAAGTAGAGCTAATTCCTGTCTGTCTGTAAGTTTAAACTTGTAAATTAGTTGCTGTGTCCTTAATGCTTGGCGATCCTTTGTGCAGTAGGTACTAAAGAAATAGAATTCGAAGAATATAGTATAGTGTGCAGCTAACTCGATTTCTGTATGAATATAATACCATATGAAAAGAACAGAAAAATCGTGAGAAGAAAGCTCATTTTCGAAATTTTTTTTTTTTTTTCATTTATACGATCTAGTTAACGTTGAACACAGTATTCAAAGGTTAATCACGCTTCACAATTTCCTACTATAACCTAGTAACGACAAGTGGAAAATTTTGAATTGAGTCAAAGTTTGGAAACCAAAAAATTTTTTCAGACAAATGTTAGTTAAAAAGAATATTTAAGTTTGAATTTTATACTGAAAAAAAATTTAACTTGAATCAAGATGAAAATTCTTGAACCAAGAAAATAATTTTGAAGAGTTTCATTGTCTTAAATCAAGTAAAATTTAATTAAATAAAAAAAAATTTCTTCGCTTAAGAATTTTTCTACTCAAATCAAAAAGATGAAGTTCTTTAAAATTATTTATTTGATTCAAGTAAATTTTTTTTTCTGTGTAGACACCTCAAAATATTAATTTTATTTATTTAATTTACGTGTCTTGCTTTTTTATGCTTTTAAGTTGATTGAAGTTAAAGTAACCTGCAATCGTATGCTGAGTTTTAATCTCGGAGTCTCATGTGTTCTAAACTTCCATCCATTGGACTAAGCTATGCAATTAATTGTATTAGGAGTAAAAATGTATCGCTATTCTAATATTTACGGCCTTATACTTATGGATGAAATTAGATACGGAATTTCAAAATGTTTTTTAAGATGGTCTAAAATTTTTAAATTGTTGAAACTATTTAGAATTTTCTGGAAACTTTTTTTTTTTTTCAAAATGTTTCTCAAAAGTTGTCGAAAGCGAATTTTAACATTAATTTATTCATTTCCTGTAGAAATAATTTTTTATTTTAAATGAAATGAATTATTTTTCCAAATATATGTAAAATGAGCAACAGTAATTCTTTTTGCATATTTTGCATAATGTAGAATTTACAAATATTATTTTCGGCCAAAATGGTCGAAAGTAATTTTTAACAGTTTTTTTTTATTGATTTTGCATTTTCGAGAAAAAAAATGTTTTTTGTAAACATTTGAATGAAAAGTAATTCTGTTATTTTCAAAAATTGATTTAGTGTACCAAAAACGAGAAAATATTTAAAGTTCAGCGTTTAAGATTGCTATTCTAAAGCTTATTGAATAATCGATACAATTCTGCGCTTATAAAATGTAGGAAATTCAATTAATTTTTTTAAAAGCCTTGGTAATAATTTTTAAAAGCGATAACTAAGTTTTTTCTTGGTGATAATTAACTAATATTCACATTTAGGATCTATATATCTCAAAAATGTAATATTTTATTAATCACAGTTATAAAAAATTTAATAGCTTTATAATGTCTGATAATACAAGCGTTAACAAAAATACGTACGATATTCTACGATTTATTTTCTATGTGCTATCATGTTGTTTTTTTTAACACTATAACAACACAGTCGATTATTTATATTTTCAGATCTGTATATGTTTTTTTAATTATTTAATAGTCATTTAAAATAGTATAAATACATTTCAAAAAATTTATATTCTGAAGCTTTTATATGGATTATTAATTTTTTATGGTTTTTTTTTAGAAACATACCTGTAATCAATGTGGGATTTTGAAGGATTCAGTATGATGCCAGAACCTTTAGGGACTGTCGTGTCGGACGATATATGGAAAAAGTTCGACATGGACGCCCTTCACTCTTCAGAAGGCTATGTGCATGTTAATTTTTCTTCATTTGATATTATTCCTGAACCATTTGATGACACGGATTGTTCAGACTATCCAGAAATTCGTCACCATGACTGTATGTGGGCAGGATTATGTATAAGTAAAGAGCACAATAAAATATTGTCAACCAAAAATCAAAGAATTTCCCCGCCTAGAATAGTACAAGCCGGCAAAAGTTTGTTGAAATCACGATCATCGTCAGATTCAATGGATCACCTACAGCAAGAGAAGTTTTTCATGAAGAATCAACATCAGAGAATGGATAGCTTAGAAAGTGACGGTGGTTCACCACGTTCAGAATCACCTCAAACTTCTTCCGAGTCATCAGAAGATGATTCTGATAGTGAACGAGATATACCAACTTTTAAGCACGATCAGTTCAGTATTAATGAAAAGTTAATCGAGTGTATATCTGCGCCCGTAAGTGAGGTCACCGGACAGTGTGTCAGAAGTTCATTGAAGATAAAAGTTAAGGTCAATGAAACAGATAACGATGAATCCATTGATACTCGAAACAATATCAATACATCAAAACAAACAGAAGTCAGTAATACCCTCATTGATCATTGTTATTACATAAATCATCCCACCAGTATCAAAAAATTAGACTATTTGGGTGTTCAAACACCATCCGATTCCGGTGAGTGTAAATTTATATTTATTATTTATAATAAAAGTCACTTTGGTAATGACGTTATCGAATAAAAAAAAAAAAAAACAAAAAGTAATTAATCTCATTTTATAAATTATAAAAAATGTGTCGTGTACTTTTTTGGAAATGTAGTCTTATAACTTTTGAAAATTAATTCATGATAATTAAAAACAAATATCTTTTATGAACCGCACGGTTATACATGTGTCATTTAAAAGAGCTCCGGTTAAACTTTATCTTGAAAAATATTCAAATTTCCTCGAGTGACGATCCCTTATTTGAAAAAGCCCATATCAATTTTAAAATACTGCTATCTTATGTATATTATCGATATACTTTCTCACCTAAAATAATTTTATTTAATATAAATATTCTAGGTAAATCAAATTTTTGTACAAGTAAATCATGAGTCGAGCAATAAATTTGTATGTATCCCTACTTGATACTCAATTGAAACTCCAATTAAATTTCACTCCAATTTCATTCTTAGAATAATTTTACAATAAAACTTGTTTGTAAATAGGGCTCAAAAGTTGTAAATTTTGCTAGAAGACGGGTACAAACTTTGTTGAGGCAAAAATATTCATTAATTAATAGAAAAATTATTCGCATTTATGATTGTCTTTTGAGAAAAATTGAATATTTTTCAAAATAACTTGGCTACTTAATACATTAATAGTTAGAGAGCATATTAAATCCTTGCATAAAAATAATCTTGGTTATTTCTGTAGATTTATTCGTTACAGTGAGTTAGAATATCTCATAGTAAAAATTCATTTTTCAATTATTTTCAAATAAGAAGTAGATATTTGATTAGTAGTAGATCAAATAAGAAGTAGATGTTAGCATTATTTAACAAATATAAATAATGCTGTGAAGCGGGAAAGAATAGGAGTTACGGATAATTATTACGTGAATTATCCGTAAATAAATTATCCGTAAATAAATAAGTAGATGTTTGCGATGATTTATATTTTGATAGTAATATTGATAACTCAAATTTAATAGATTTCTTATCTTCTCACTTTGAAAATTCATAATTTTCAAAATTAGGAAATTGGTTTTCGTTCGATTTCAAGAAGTCAAATTTTTAACAGATTTTCACGCTTTAAGGTCCTAGAAAGTCATTCTGACTGTTTCCCGGCTTATGTGTGTATATAAATAAAATTTTGTCACCAGATATCTCAAGAACTAATCAACCGACTGAGACTTATGGCATGACGTTTGTTAGGATTTATTGGGACAAATTAGATTAGATTTTGAAGTCAATGAGACAATTCGTTTCTAGTATCCGAAAAACATAAATACAGAAAAAGAAATTATTCTATGTTTGTTTGAAATGATATTAAAATTTTTTGAGCAATCGACTCAAAATGTTATGTATACTTCTTGTGTTTAAATATTTCAAAAAAATGTTTTGAAGTAATTTCCATATTTTCATGCTCAAAGAGTCCTGGATTTTCTGGTGAAAAAATCTATGCTACTATAAATTACAAAACAAAATTTTAAATTATAATGTCAAAGATATAATTTAAAAAAATATTTTTGACTTTTTAATCTACTTTATCATAATTTTTTTGGTGATTCAATATGGAATTCTTTATACATGTATGATAAAAATATTAATTTATATTTACATATTTGATCGCCAAGGTTCAAATTTTTTATGTATTTGTCGTGTACATAAACCATCTGAACATATGTTGCGTCATATGGCGGCATCATGGTTTGTCGTGCTAACGGATTGCTGCTGAGCTGCTGAGTGTTACGTGGACAATCGGCTAAATATTATATCTCTTTTAATACTAAGAATTGTAAGCTGTTAACTGCACGGTTACATCAGATGGCGTTAGATATTGAAGTACTTTTACTCTTTACGTGCACAAAAATTATTTGTACAGAATATCAATGCAATATTTAACGTTTATTTTATTCTCATTATTTGATAAACATATAGTTACTTACACATAGATAGGTATACCGTAACAGAGATCTCAAAATTATTGCTAGGTGAAGGAGTTCACAACTGTTCTAATAAATAGTTCTTATAAAGTTCGATATATATATGGGGCATTCCATGCCAAATCGACCACTTCTGACACCAACCCTTTTCGATTTTTCTGAAATTTTGGTATCTTTCTCTACCCTATTGAAAACAATTTTCAGAATTTTTTCAAATTTTTTTACCCAACCAAAAAAAAATTACGAGTTATTACAAAAAAACAGCTTTTTTTTGTTTAAATAACCATAACTTTTTTGAAAAATGACTTTTTGGGATGTTTTTTTTTTAAAAATTTTTGTCTTTAAATGTACTTTAAATGTACCTCAAATGTCTTTAAATGTACTTTAAAAAAAAAAAAAAATAAAAATAATAATTCAGATTCATATTCAATGTTTTTTTTAACTTTTTGGAAAAAAAAAACGAAAATTTCGGGATGATTGACACTTTTGATTTTCGATTTTTCTTTTTTATAAAAAAACTTCAGTATTTTTTGCAAATTCCCTAAAATTTTCAAAGTGGTAAACTTTTTCTTTCTATTTTTTTTCAGAGTGGTATAACGAAAAACAAACATTTAAAAAAAAATTTTTTTTTCATTAAAAAAAAAA